ATGATGCATTGGGAGAGATATTGCAACGACAGTGAGTACAGACAAAAACAACTGAATTACAAGAAATCAAAATATTGTAATGACCCTGATTTCAGGAAGAAAAGTTGTAAGTGTTCAAAAGATTATTACGCGAGCAATGTTCAGTTTCAGAAACTGGTTTGTAACTATTCCCAGGTGAAGTACAAGAGTAATGTGGTCTTTCAAGCAAGAGTGCGTGAGTATTCTGTGATGAAATACCATAAAGATGTGAACTTTCGTGCGAGTACAATACAAAAAGGTTGTGAAATATATGCAAGAAAAAAGGAACAGAAAGACATTGATGTTGTTATTGATTTTTTTCGACAAGAAGTTAGTAGTGGTCCAGAGTTTGTGTGCTGTGTCTGTCACCGTTTACTTTTCAGAAAGCAGGTTATTGAATGCAAAACAGAATGCTATGAAGACAAAGGAGAAAAAATTGCTGCTTTGGGTAGAAGATGCATCACAACCAGATATGTGCATGTTTATGATGAAAAGTGTGACCTGTCTTCTGCTTATTCCTCAGGGTGCAAATTATGGATTTGTCTAACATGTCATCGAAAAATCCTTTGTGGAAAACTACCAGAAGAGAGTGTTGCCAACAACATGCATTTGGTGGACATTCCAAATCAACTGAAACGTCTCAACTCATTGGAACAACATCTCATTGCACGTAACATTCCTTTTATGAAGTTACTCTGCCTTCCCCGTGGTAAGCAACATGGATGCCATGGACCTGTAGTCTGCGTTCCAGTAAATACGACAGATGTGTCAAATATCCTTCCACGAAATTAATGTGATGACAAGATGATGAGGATCAAACTGAAACGCAAATTAACGTACAAAGGGCATTATGAGTACAAGTATGTACACACTGATCTTGTTCGAAATGCTCTGAAATATTTGATCAGGTTCAATAAGTGGTTTGGTGATGTGGAGATTAATGAGCAGTGGATCAACTCTTTGAATGAACCAGAAGAAAATGTTGTAGATGAAATGGAGCAACAAGATGTAGTTGAAAAGATCGATGATGAAAATGACCCTGATGAACAGCCGGAGGAAGACCTGAGCTACATCAAAGAGCAAAGTGGTCTTTTGTCAGATATGATGAATTATGATTCAACAGATGCATTTTTTGAGTCAATTGGCATTAACCAGGCTCTCTTCGAAAAAGCCTACAAACAGTGTTCCAAAAAGAAAACTATTGTCCTAAAAAGAAATCCAAAAGATATCTGGGTGAACCAATATAATAAACATTTACTGCGTGCTTGGCAAGGCAACATGGATATCCAGTATGTCACAGATGCTTACTCTGTAGTGGTTTACATTATTAGTTACATCACAAAAGCAGAACAAGAAATGGGACTGTTGCTTCAACGTGCACAAAATGAAGCCATGAATGGAAATCTTGAAGCGAGATCATCATTAAAAATGCTTGGTAGTGTATATCTTCACAACAGAGAAATTTCTGCTCAAGAGGCTATGTATTGACTGACAGGTATGCACTTGAAGGAATGTTCTCGTAAAGTCCAGTTTATTCCAATTGGATTGAATCCTGTAAAGATGAGTTTGCCTCTTCGTGTTATCAAAAACAAAGATGATCAGTCTGGTGAAGAAACTAGCTTTTGGATGACCAGTCTGGTTGACCGATACAAGAATAGGCCAAACACGCAGGAGTTTGAGATTCAATGTCTTGCAAGTTTTTGCTCTGAAAACAGGATATTGTCAAAATCGGAGGTTTCTTCACAAAAAAAGGCCTCCGAAGAAAAGGTGATTAAGCTTAACAACAACTGTGGCTATATGATGAAGAGAACTCGAACTGAACCTGCAGTTGTCAGGTATCCGAGATTTTCTCCAAAAAAAGATCCCGAAAAGTACTTTCATTCATTGTTACAACTTTTCTTACCACATTACGAAGACTGGCAGCTGAAGCCTCAGAATTTTACCACTTATGAGGAATTCTACAACAATGGTGCTGTGAAATGTGGAAGTAATGTGACAAAAGTAAAATGTATTGTTCATGCTAATCGAGGACTGTTTGAAAAGGAAAGTGACAAAATAGATCAAGCTCAACAGCTTTTGGAGCAGGGTGTTGATTTGGAAGATGCTTGGGCTGCATTGTGTCCTGAAACAGAAAAGGAACGTCATGAATGCCTAGAACTAAAGAAGAGTAATGTAATTCCTGATGAAGATGATTCTGAGCCTTCTATTCCAGATCTTGTAGCGAACCCTCGAATTCCATACAGTATTGAAACCAACCATGCTGGAATGTCTAGAAAAGAGGCGTTATGTTTACTAAGATCATTAAATGCACAACAATCAGCAATCTTTTACAAAGTGCGGAAATGGTGTCTAGAGAAACTTCTTGGAGAAAACCCTGAACCATTTCACTTGTTCGTTACTGGTGGAGCAGGCACAGGGAAAAGCCATTTAATCAAAGCAATATACTACGAATCTTCCAGACTTTTATCTCAGCTTTCCGAAAACCCTGATGATAGAAGTGTGATTTTAACTGCATCAACTGGAGTGGCTAGCTACCACATTGGTGCTTCCACGATTCATAATACCTTTTCGGTAGGTGCCAATGTCAAACTGCCATATCAGACCCTAAGTGATGACAAAATCAATTCACTGCGTGCAAAAATGGGAGGTTTACAGATTCTGATCATTGATGAGGTGTCTATGGTTGACCATCACCTTTTGTCTTATGTTCATGGGAGATTGAGACAAATAAAGCAAACTGGTGACTACTCCATTTTTGGAAAAGTCAGTTTGGTCGGTGTTGGTGATTTTTACCAGCTTCCGCCTGTCAAGGGAATTCCCCTGTATGTTGATCCAAAAGGAGTGAATCTTTGGGATAACAACTTTGAAATTGCCGAACTAACACAAGTTGTCAGGCAACAAGATGCATCTTTTGCTGAAATGTTAAATCGTCTTCGAGTTCATAAAAAGAAGGAAACTCTAAGCCCAAGCGACATTAACATGTTGAAGAAACATGAAACGGGTGAAGAATGTGATGCTATTCATATATTTCCTACAAATGCTCAGGTTGATGAATACAATATTCAGAAACTTAGTGCGTGTTGTCCTGAGGCAATCACTATTCGAGCTAGAGACTTTGTGAGAAATCCAGAAACTGGAAGAATAGAAGCAAAAGTTGGATTTCATGCAAAAGTTTTCAACTCCTGTTTGGACAAATGTGTTTCCTTGGGTGTTGGAGCCAGAGTAATGCTAAGAAAAAATCTTGATGTTTCAGATGGACTTGTCAATGGAGCCTTTGGCACAGTTGTCCACATAAGCAAAAACCTGATGATGATGATGACTTCCCAACAGCTATTCATGTTGAATTTGATCATCCAAATGTTGGTAAAATTCAGAGATCGAAGCAACGACAGAAATATTCCCCAAATTCTACTGTTATTGAAGTGGAAGAAGATCAAGTCACAAACGATGGTGGTTTAAGACGTCAGTTTCCACTTAAATTGGCATGGGCATGCACCGTTCACAAAGTGCAAGGACTCACAGTAGACAAAGCGGTCGTCTCACTTGACAAGGTATTTTGTCCAGGACAAGCATATGTTGCACTGAGTTGTGTGAGAACCCTCGATGGACTAATGATTAATGACTTCAAAGAGTCTGCCATATATTGTAATGAGAAAATCGACTCTGCTATGAAAAACATGCTCCGACTTACTTTAGAAAATCACAGTGTCATAAAGACACCTGATCAGTGTTGGGAGTAACGCATTACAAAAGTAATAATATTACAGTAGTATATTACTTTTTGCTGTAACGCAGTAATATAACGCATTACTAATCAAATTTGGGTAATATTATTACTCGTTACAATCTCAGTAACGCAAGTTACAACAATATTGTAATGTAACTAATTACTTTCAAAAGACAGTAACTAGTAATATATAATGTATTACATTTTGGAAGTAACTTGCCCAACACTGCACCTGATAGGTTTACAATTGCTCTTCATAATGTACAAAGTCTTCGAGCTCATGTTCAAGATATTCAAGTTCACGGACAGCTAATGAATGCGGATTGTATCTGTTTAACTGAAACTTGGCTAAAAGTTGAAGACGATGTGCAGATACCAGGATTTGTTTTTAAGAACAATCCGAGAGCTAAGTGTTATGACGAGAGCACTCCACTTTTCACTGATTTAAAACGACAAAGAGGTGGTGGAGTTGGTGTATTCTGTTGTGAAGGCATTAATTTTAACGTCATCATTCCAGAACCTTGCAACTTGGAATGTCTATACTTTGCAGTTCCACATATAAGTTTGAATGCTGCTTTGCTGTACAGGCCTAATTCATATTCACTTGACATGTTTCGACAAAATATGTTACATGTTATTGATGAGTTGGAGAAACATTCAGGAAAGAAAGTGATTATGGGAGACTTCAATGAGGACATCTTGACATCATCTACAATTGAAACATTAATGGAATTACATGGATACAGTCAACGTGCAACATCCTACAACTGAGAAAGGAACGCTGATAGACCATGTCTATGTTAAAGATGCAGAAAACGTTTCAGTCGAAATCGTGCAAACCTATTACAGTTACCATCAGGCAGTACTGATACAGGCAGGCAGGCTTAGGGAATGATTGTGACATGTACTGAAATCATTATAACTGCATTCTCTTTTCTTTTCGGTACCCTTATTCTGAGATACCAATGGGCATACCACTGGAGAACAAGTGTATTACTTGAGACGGTATGTTCTTAGACTATCTATATCTAACCGACTCTTATAATGATCCATCAGTTAAATCATCAGTTGAATCTGTACAGATGTTCCATGTTATCAATGAAGGTCTATCTGAAGGTAATCCATTTTATGTATGCAACACACTGAAATGAGAAAATTGTATCATTGTATTGTCTGTTCTGTTTTTGTGTCCATATCATGTGAACACTATCCTGAGATTCCAAGATCCACAGAGTCCAGTCAATCCAGCCTCAAGTACAAACCACTGATCGTCATCCTACATCTCCCATAATTGCTCTTCTTTCTTGAGCTAATAAGCTTCATCCAGCCAAGGTAATTGTAGTATTTCATTTGTATTCAGCTTTATGCTGGCTTTATTTTGAATTCTGTTTAATTATTCTTACTTTTAAGAGATTTATCAAATTTTTAATTGACTTCAAGTATATTACTAATGTATTTTATTATTAATCTAATTTCAGTCATATTCTAAGCCATCCAAACAATAATGGATGCTTCCAAACATCATAGGAAGCATCCACAAAGACTGCCTGCATCCATCCAGTTGTCTCCTAATATATCAAAATTAAGTTAATGGAACAGCACAAAAATGGTCAAAATGTACTAAAACTAACAAAGGTAAGTTGACTCAGGAGTGCCTGGTTACACAAACATTTTTCTGTTTAAAATATAATAAACTGTTTTAAAGGCATTGTTAAATTCATCAACTATATGCAAGTAAGCACATGCAAGTTATCTTTTCAGACATATGAAATGCACTGAAGTCATAATTTCCCCCATGCAAGAGATTCTATACTCCATCCAACACATCATTCTATACTCCAATAACTCCCATAATGAAGAAAACGACTGATAAAAATGTAAATGTAGTAGTGTAATGTCTGCAAAACTTGAATTGACTCATTTCTTCAAGCACTGTTTCACCTACTAACAATACATTTTCAGGTTTATGCATCAAAACTCAATAACTACTCTCCACTACCCTCAAAAGGTGAGTGTTGAGACGGTGTCTACATTAGTTGCAAAATGTATTTGTTGTGTAAGCATTTCATTTACCAAGCACCTAATGTTCTATTAATGTTTTTTTTTTAGATTTCTGCAATGCACTATATTTGGAACTTCCTCCTTATCCAATATGTAATTCTCTGCTCCATTAACTTTTTTTATGAAGAAGGACACAACTGAAAAAAAGGTAAATTTAATTGTATAATGTTTGCAAAGCTTAGATTAAGTATTTTGTTTGCGCAGTCATTAAAGCAATAACAATATTATTTTATTTGTGCAGCATAACTCAATAACTACTGTCCACTACTCTCAAAAGGTGAGTGTACATCTGGTGTCTACATTAGTTGCAAAATGTTGTTGTGTAAACACTTTATCAAGCAGTTGATATTCCATGAATGTATTTTCAGATTTCTGCAATGACCTACACTTCTAACTTACTCCTTATGCATTATATGATTCTCTGCTCCATGAACTGTTTTTATAAAGAAGCACAAAACTGATAAAAAGGTAAATTTAATTGCATAATGTCTGCAAAACTTGAATCGACTCGTTTCTTCAAGCACCGTTCCACCCAATAACAATACATTTTCAGGTTTGTGCATCAAAACTCAATATCTACTGTCCACTACTCTCAAAAGGTGAGTGTACATCTGGTGTCTACATTAGTTGCAAAATGTTGTTGTGTAAACACTTTATCAAGCAGTTGATGTTCCATGAATGTATTTTCAGATTTCCACAATGTGCTACACTTGAAACTTCCTCCTTATCCATTATATGGTTCTCCGCTCCATGAACTGTTTTTTTTAAAGAAGCACACAACTGATAAAAAGGTCAATTTAATAGTTAATCTAAGATTTGCAGACATTATACACTTTTCTTTGAGCAGTAATTAAAGCAATAACAATGTTCTTTCAGTTTTGTGCAGCACAACTCGATAACTACTCTCCACTACTTTCAAAAGGTGAGTGTAGAGATGGTGTCTACATTACAGAACAAAAACATTTTGCAACTAAACACTTTATCAAGCAGTTAATGTTCCATGAATGTATTTTCAGATTTCTGCAATGACCTACACTTCTAACTTCCTCCTTATCCATTATATGATCCTCCGCTCCATGAACCGTTTTTATAAAGAAGCACACAACTGATAAAAAGGTAGAATATAATATCCTTTATGCTTATTAATCAGAAGTTGATACTAATTTGAGTTTAATTTATTGATTTTCTGCTTCTCTTTCTTACAGTGAAGACAAAACCATTCTCAACTATCAATTCAGAAAATGTCCCGGCAAAAATCTAAACTGATGCAAGCAGTCAATAGTCAAAGTTATTACACAAATACATAACCCCAAAAGTAACACAATTATATATAAAATATTGGATGGATGGCTTGTATTATATTTAGCCTATGTACAGTAAATTTAGATATGTGCCAGCCAAAGGAGGATGGCCTTCCCCTGCTGAGTCTGGTTCCTCCCAAGGTTTCTCCTTACACCACTCTGCCTATGATGCTCCTCTTCACTAATTTAGGGGGTTTTCCCTGCCACTGTCGCCTTCTGGCTTGCTCACTGGGGTATTAAGGAACAATATTTTCAATGTAAACGGAGTAATGTCTTTCTAAAGAATTGAATAAATACATGATGAATTCAAATGTACTTTTTCTTCTTCTTGCTGTCATGCACTTCCATTTACTTTATCAATGTCCTGTTTGTTTATTGATCAACATTAGAAATTCTATGTAGAATGTTAGTTTTGTTCCCCACACAATTTAAAAAAAAAAAAGTTTTTTAAATGGACCATCTGTGAGCACAATTCGTATCACACTATGCTACATAGAGCATTCAAGATAATGGATAAAAATTTACATGTAATCCTTTTCTTTGCATTCAGTTTATTTATTGATGTACCATTAAACCTGGAATTGGGGAGAAAATTGTTAAAATATTTATATTTAGTGTACACAACAGAATTAAATTATTCTGTAGGCCTATGACTTAAATGATGATCCCATTTAAGTTTCTTTTGACAAACTGAAAGCTCAACTAAAAGCAGTTTTCAAATATTTTTTCTTCCAGTGATGCTCTCCATGAAACAGACAAAAATGAAATGCTTTGCTAAAGTATATAATGGCAGTAGCTGACCCACTCAATACACATTGATATCTTTGTTCATAACCGTTAATTTAACAACAAAAATTATAAAACTTTTGCTGTAATGCTGCACAGATGTTCCTGTATTGTTGAGCAGATGAAGACACTTTACACGTTTCATTATAATGTCACCCCACACAAGAATTAAAACCTGTGACCTCATCTGTGAGCACAATTCTTATCACACTGTGCCAGATAGGGCACACAGTCACTACAATGTTGAAGATATGTTTTAATATAAAAAGGAACACAGAGGAGCAAGCACTAGCATGCTAACCAAGAATGTTCATGAAGTTTAGTGCACAGCAAGAAGAGCAAATACAGCAGAAATAGAATGTACATTAAAAAAACAGATAGGTTCAGAAGTAGAGAAGTAAAAAAATGAACAGAAGTTCAGATGAGAATGACCAAAAACACATTTCTGATTCAATGCACACAGAAAATCCAACATCCGGAACAGAAGCAACATTTTGTGAGAATGATCGTGACTTAGCATTTTACAGAAAAGACAATTGTAAATTGACAATTTACATTTTACACAATTGACATCCTCAGATTCGGCATGACACAAGGAATCCAAAGACACTAAGATCATAATTTTCTGACTAATTGTTCAAAAGTTATAAGTGAAAATGTGAATTTCTGGTATCTCACGACCCATAGGTGGCGCTGTTCCCAAATTTGGCATGGGACCTCAGATCATGGTGGTGACGAAGTTTACCAAGTTTCGTTTTGATTGATCAAAGGTTGGCCGAGATACAGCGTCTGAACCAATTTGGGTTGACCTTGTTAACTTCACAACATCATAACTTTTTTTTCACTAGTAGTTAAAAAAATCTGTTCAGTCATTTCTGTGCAGCTCAGTCCAAAGATCATATGATCAAAATTTGGACAAAATTGGACAAAATTTCTGGGAGGAGTAGTGAAAAAACTGTTTTTCATTCAATTGAACATGGCGGACAGACACCCTGTTGGAAAATGACAAATGAGACATCATCAGAATCGGCATTATCCAGGGAACCAAATGACATAAAAATAACAAAATTTGGACAACATTTTGCAAGAATCGTTATATCTCTGGAACAATAGGTGGCGCTGTCTTCAAACTTCCGGGGTACCTCCGGGACATGGTGTTGATGATCCCTACCGATTTGTTTGCAGATATGTCCAATGGTTCAAAAGATATAGCAATTTATGACAAATGTCAAAATGGCGGACAGATAGTTCAGCCAATCCTGGCAAAATTCACATGCACAGATTCGGCATGACCCAAGTAATCCATAGACACCAAGATCATAATTTTCTGACCAATTGTTCAAAAGTTATAAGCGAAAATGTGCATTTTTGGTATCTCACGACCCATAGATGGCGCTATTCCCATCTTTGGCATGGGCCCTCAGATCATGGTGTTGATGAAGCATACCAGGTTTCGTTTCGATTGATCAAAGTTTGGCCGAGATACAGCCTCTGAACCAATTTTGAGTCAACCTTGTTGAGTTCACAACTTCATAACTTTTGAACAAAGATGAATAAAAAAAATTGGTTCAGTCAAGTCTGTGCAGCTCACTCCGAAGATCATCTGAGCCAATTTTGGGAAGAATTGGATCAATTTTGAAGGAGTAGTAGGGAATAGACAATTTACTGTACTTTTCAAAATGGCCGCTACTGTAATGGGTGGAGTGTGAATGTAAGCTATTGAATGTGATCAGCAAGAAGAGAGTAATCATGTGTACTAAGTTTCATTTGTCTAGAATAAGGGGTTAAAGAGTTATTACCATTTAAATGTTGAATTTTTGAACTGGTGGTGGCACTATGGAGTTGGTCTTAGAGACCCCAAAGTTGGTCAGATCACTATTCATGGCCATCACTACAATTGTGCCAAATTTCATCATTTTCCAATATTCCCTTCATAGGGCTACCATAGACCCCCATTTGACGAAAATAACAATAAAACATACAGATACAATAGGGGCTACAGCCCTTTGGGCTTGGCCCCTAAAAAGTCCCAGTGGCCTAATGGGTTATGGCATCAGCCTCTGTGTTCAAGTCCCACCTGGGCTGCTTTTGTTGTGTTACATTTAAGTTGGCTGCGCAAAAAATGCTGGGATGATAAGTTTAAAGTGGCACTATAGCCACGACAACAAAACATGAGAACTAGCATAGAGTTAGAAATAGCCAGAGGTGTAAAGAGTACCTAAAAACCATACTTAGCAAAAGTACAGATACCTTACAGTGAAAATTACTCCACTACACGTTACAAGTCACCAATTCCAAAACAACTTGAGTAAAAGTCTTAGAGTATCTGATTTTAACAGTACTTAAGTATTTTACTTATAGGCTCAAAGATGCACTAGTCAAAGAGACATGCCAGTGAAAAACTGTAACGTTGTGGAGAAGCTGCGGAAAACAGGCAGAGGCAAGGATCTATGTGCAGGTATTTAATGGAAAAACTAGAACAAACAATAAAGCAAAAACCAAAGAGAACAAAGAACAGAATGACTGGCAAACAGACAACCATTACATTCAACAACTCACAAGGAACTAAAGAAAAACTAGGGCTAATAACAGTATACACACAGGGGGCTAACAAGCTTAACAAGATAACAAGACACACCTGGGGAGACTAATCAAGGGGAACCAATGAACAAACGGACTACAAACACCACGGGAGACAGGAAGTGACATAAAAGTCCAGGACAAGGCACAGAGAGCATGAAACAAAAACAGAGTTTATTTTCTAAAACCAAAATAAAACTGAACACCTCAAAATAACAAAACAAA